CAAGGGCGAGGGTCAGGGGGGACCCCGGGCCATGTGGGAGAGGGTGGCCCCAGTGTGGAAAGTCCGGCAGCACCTGATCCCTAGATCGGGGGGCCATTTAGGGCAAGGATTGGGTCCATCCACCGGGCAGCGTGAGCCAGGTCCTGGAGCCACTGTCCGGTTGCCTGGGCGGCCACGCCTTGTCTTCCCAGCGGCCACCATGCCCTCAGGACCTGGGGTGTGACCAGGGCTTACCCCAGGCTTGCGGGGACAGTCGTGCCGGGGACCGTGGGCAGCAGTCCCAGCGCGGCCCTGGTTGGGCCGGATCCAGCACATGTGAAGGCTGAGCAATGCGGGGATTATGATTCTCGGGGGATCTGGGCTTACAGGGCCCCTCCTCCACCACCTCAGCTGACCCTGGCCTGGAGGCGACTCAGGTCTGTCCTGGGGCCAGGAGGGAGTAGAGAGCACTTCACTGCCCGGCCATGTCCAGTGGGTGGTGTTGGGGAGGCACGGTGGAGGACAGTCCTGCCGCCCTGGAGCGGCTCCGAGTCGTAGAGTGACTGTGAGGCCACCCATGGTCCAGCAGGGCCCCCCGGGCGGAGGGTCCCAGTCGCTGCTGCACACAGCCAGTGGTGCCTGCGAGGCCGGATAGGACTGTGGCCAGGTTCCTGCTGACCGCCTTATCAGGGCCCAGTCTCCACACCCCACACACAGGCACACCCCCAGGTCCCACTCTCTGCTCTTGCCCCTGCAAGCCTCGGGCAGCTTGTTTACCTCCAGGCCTGGCTGGCCCTGAGCCTGGAGGGAAGCAGGAGGGAGTGGCTGTTTTTAGAAGAAGGTGACTTTACTCCTGGGCTGTGGATCACATGGCAACCCTGGCTGTGAAGGGCAGGGCTGAGGCCTCCTGCAGTCCTTAGAGCTCTTCAAGGGCATACTGGTGTAATCCAGTAAGGGTGGGAGCGGTTTCTCCATCCTTGCCCCCAGGGGGCTTGTAGAACGCGTTTTCATCACAGGCCTTCTGCTGGGAGGGAGTGACCCAAGAAGCAGCAGGTGTCCCTGGGGAAGGGACACGGGCTGCTGTCAGCACCTCCTTGGCACTGATGGATGGAAGCTGGTCTTTCCACACCCTGTGAACCCAGAGGAGTTCATCCCTCCTCCCCGAGCATGGTCTGAACAAGGTCTGGGGCTCATCCTGGCACCCCCTGCCTGCACAGACTGGCTTTGGGTCGTAGGCAGGGGACTTGTTCCGAGAAGCTCGGAGACCAGAGACAGCCCCCTCTGCTGGTGTCTGCGGCCTGCCAGGGACCCTGGGGGGGTGTCCTGCAGGAGTGAGCCATAGGTCCAGTGAGAGCTGGGACGAGCCTCCTGGAGCCTGGCCTTGGTTCCCGCTCAGTTAGGGGTGGGGACACTCTGTCTTCACTTGAGGAGGCATCGACAGGTGGCAGTGTGGACCAGGGCTGGCCACTGTCTAGGGCTAGTGCCCTCTTGGCTGCTGTGATTCCAAGGCAGGTACCTCCAGGGTGGCGGTCAGCAGTAGGGCCCCACGTGCCTTATATGTTGTCAGGACTCTTCTGGTCAGCGTGCCCCCATCCCGACAGCTCTCTGCAGATCCCAGGTGTGCCCGTCTGCAGTTCCCTGGCCTGCCTGTGGAGAGGCACTGTGGCCCCAGGGGAGCCTCAGGTCCCAGCGTCACTGCTCCTGGCGGCTTCAGACCCCTTGCTGCCTAAACACCGACTAGGGCAGCTGGGCCCCCACTAACTGCATTCTCTTCTTAATTCGCTGTCGCCCCATGCCTGTGCCTGCCTCGACACAGCGGGCTTCGTGCTGCCACCGCTGTCCCAGGAGCGGGGGCCGGGGGACCATGTGGAGCTGCACTGCGAGGCTGTGGGCAGCCCCGTCCCTGAAATACAGTGGTGGTTTGAAGGGGTTGCGCCTGACGCACCCTGCGCCCAGCTCTGGGACGGTGCCCGTCAGGACCGCATCCACATCCACGCCGCCTACCACCAGCATGCGGCCAGCACCCTGTCCATTGCCGGCCTCACCATGGACGACGCTGGCACCTACGAGTGCAGGGCCAGCAACGACCCTGACCGCAACCACTTGACCCGGGCACCGCGTGTGCGCTGGGTCCGCGCCCAGGCCAGCGTGCTGGTCCGAGAACGTGAGTGGGGCACACAGATGCTGCTCTTCCCAGCTGCCTGGCTCTCACCACGTCGTGACCTGCACCACCACCCCACCTGGAGGCCCAGGCCCGCCTCCCGTCCCTCTCGGCTCCATCCACTCCCAGCTCTTGTGTCCTCCGCTCCGTCCACACCCAGCTCCGTAGCCCCCCCAGCTGCATCCGCTCCTGATTGTGTATCCTCTTTGGTCCATGCCCAGCTCTGAGGTCCCCATAGTTCTCCCCATTTGCAGTTGCATGTCCTCGGCTCCGTCCACTCCTCAGTTCGTAATTCAGTCCTTGGCCTCTGTCTTGTCCACCCTACAGAGTAGGGAGTCTTGGTGTCCACTCCTGGTGGGGCCCCTGCTCCCCCGTGCTGAGGCTGTGTGGTCCAGGGGGACCTTTAGCATCACAGTTTCTAGTTTTAGGTTGTAGTCTTGAACCCAGAGAGTCCAGCTGCTGTTGCTGGCTGACATGTCTGGACAGTGGGTGGGCACAGGGTCAGCAGTATCACACGTCTTGGAGCTGCTGGGGACCTCAGGGCAGCAGGGCCTCAGTCAGGCCTGCCTCAGTCTCTGACCACTCGTGTGATGTGGGGACCGACAGTCAGCCTGGGTGGACGGGCCTGCGCTCTGTGCTCTCGTGATCTGTGTCCTGTGCGGCTTTTCAGCTGGTGAGGTCTCGATCTTCGTGGAGAAGATGGACTCCAAGACATTGCTGACGTGTACCCTGAACCACAGCACCACACCCATCGAGGGCCACCGCTGGATGCAGGGCGACAAGGTGCTCATGGAGGATCAGTTGTCCAGCCTGAGCACCCAGTTTGAGTGAGTCCCTTGGGTCCACCCTAAGCAGCATTGGGCCCCTGTGAATGCAGGGAGGGCTCCTTGTGCCTAACTCAGCCCCCCTTGTGCAGAGTGGACTCAGAGGACAGCGGCAAGTACGACTGCATCTTCCTCCCAGAGGACGTGGGCAGGGCCAGCATCTCCGTGGAGGGTGAGTCCTCTGGGCCTCGGGAGGTCGAGGTCTTAGGCCAGATATTCCTCTAAGCCAAGGTTCGGGCCCCTCTCGACCCCTCAGGCCTCCCCAAAGTCTTTGCTGTGAAGAAGTCAGAACATGCCAACGAGGGCGAGACAGTCACCCTCAAGTGCAAGTCCAACTCCTTCCCACCCATCACCAGCTGGGTCTGGTTCAAGAAGACTGACGCAGAGGAACAGGTCTGTCCTCCTCACCTCTCCCCTGCCCCTCCTCACCTCTCCCCTGCCCCTCCTCACCTCTCCCCTGCCCCACCTCTTCCCCTCCTCACCTGTCCCTGTGGTTCCCTCATTCCGTCCCTCAGCTCATCACCAACAGCTCCCAGAACAAGTTTCTGGTGACCTCCGCGGACATGCGGACCGAGCTGCACATCAGCAGCCTGGACCTGGAGAAGGACCCAGGCGTGTACGTGTGCAACGGGACCAGCTCCTCAGGCACCGACCAGGCCTCTATCACCCTGCGTGTGCGCAGCCGCCTGGCCGCACTCTGGCCGTTCCTGGGCATCGTGGCTGAGGTCCTCGTGCTGGTCACCATCATCTTCATCTACGAAAAGCGGCGGAAGCCGGAGGAGGTGTTGGATGGTGAGACCAGGTGTTGGGCAGTCCTGTCTGGGCTTCCCTTGTCTCTGCTGTGAGCCAGCATGCTTGGTCAGCGCCGGGGTCCAGGGCTGTCCCCAGCCAGGACCAGGAGACTGGGTTTTTGTTGTGTGGAGTTCTGGGATGTCTTGTTTACAGGGTTCCAGGGTGTCCTGCTGGCTCACCCCACCTGGGAGGGGTGGAGGAGCTAGGGCACACAGGGCGGTGGGGTTGTGGGCCTGGGTCTCAAGGGGGCCGCTGTCTACATTAACCTCTCCTCCTTCCATGTCCACTGCTAATACGGACCTGCAGATGAAGACATGGGCTCTACACCACTGTGAGTCTTGGCTGCACCCGGCGGGTGGGCATGAGGGCCTCCCTTCCAGCCCTCCTGACAGCCTCTCTCCCTCAGAAAAAGTGGGAGTCACCATGTCAACGACAAGGAGAAGAATGTCCGCCAGAGAAATGCCAACTGAGCACTGGTGAGGGCCCTGCGTCTGAGCTGTGCTGCCTGTGTGTCCGTGCCCATTTCTCCCCCACCCTGCGTCTGAGCTGTCCGTGCCCATGTGTCCATCCTGACCCCTCTACTCGGGCAGGGCGTGGGGACACCACAAAGGGCTGAGCCTTCCTTCCCTCCAGGCTACCTCCCAGGACAAAGGAGGAGCAGTGCCTAGTCACAGTCCTGCCTCCCCAGCACACCCATCCCAGCGTACGCACCTCTGGGGCGTCTGAGAAACATGCCTGGGAGAGCCGCCCGCCTCAGAGCCAGTCCTGTCCCAGTTCCTCCCCCTCCAGCCCAACTCGACTTTTCCCGCCTTCAGAGTCACACTCAGTCAAGCCTCTCACGGGGTCTCCTTTTCTTTCATTTCTTGTGAACCCCAGGGAATCAGTGAGATCCAGGCTACCTGCCAGCCTCCCACAGCCTAAACTGCCCCTCCCACTGGTGCCCAGTCTGCTGTGCAGGCCCAGCCATGTGTGCTGCCCCGTCTGAAGCCCTAGCTGTCCACTCTGTGCTTGGTTGTTCCCAAGTGTCCATGGGTGCGGCCTGGGCCCGGGGCCTAGGTACCCCCACACTCCCAGAACCCTGACGTGCCAACTCGGGCCTCCCAGCCCGGGCTGCCTGGACAACTGGTGGGGGCCTGCCCCACCTGACCACAACCCAGCCCCTACCACCTTCACCCCACTCTCCAATAAAGACTTCCTCCACCTTATCTCACCACAGACTGCTGTTTGACTGTCCCCAGAGTAGACAGCAAGCCCATCCCTTGCCAATCCACACCAGGACTGAGCCCCTGGGGAGACAGAGTCCTGGCACCCTGGCTTGGGTTTGGGGCTGCAGACACATGGGGCTCATGTGACCTCAAGGGAGGTCAGCAGAAGGTGAGGCTGGGCAGTGGGCAGGAATGGAGTGCCTTCTTGGAAGACCTTCCTTGAACCAGGGAGGACAAGGCCCAGGGAGAAGGGAGCCTCAGCCCAAAGCAAGCACCAGCCTGGCTGGTCTGGAGAGTGATGTGGGCTCAGGAGCCTGGAGCCAGGGTCATCATGGTGGCACCACGCAGGGAGGTTTGGCCTCAGGTCTCAGTACAGACCCACAGCCCTGCTGGTTTCCTCTTCCCTATAGGGCAGGGCCCTGGGAAGAGGCTGGCACCCTCTGTTCAGGAGCAGATTGGCTCTGGTGTGGGCTTCTGTCATCCAGTGAGCTGCCCTGTCCTGCACTAGCCTCAGCAGCAGCCGTGTGTCTGGGGAAGGTGGCCTTGCAGTGACCTCCACGTTCCAAGAACGGCCCCTCCTCCACACATGCCCATGTTTGATGTTGAACCCATGGTGAAGGCTGTGGTCTGATCTGCAGCAAGGCTGTCTCCTGATCCTGATGCCACGTCCCTCACAGAGTCCAGCTGCTTGAGTGAATGATGTGCTTGGCATAGATTGCATAGGTATGAGAAGGGACACAACCCTGATGCATGTTCTAGAGTTTAAACACTGCAGTGTTGCCTTTTTCTGTTTGCGTAGTGGCCTCTTGGTCGAGGTACAGGTTTCCCTTGAGCACAGGTAAGTGTCCTGTGATTCCCAACATCGGTGTCAGCTGTGTTCCTGTGGCCACCACCAGAGGGCACCATACTGCCCCTCACAATCAGGTCCTGTCCCCTGGGCACCAATAGCCACTGGCAGTCCCCTCAGCATTCAAGGGGTCCTAGACACACCCAACTGAGGCAGCACCCTTCTGTGCATCCAAGGTATCCCAGGTGTCCCCTCTGAGGGCTTTCAGGCACCCCTGAGTTGGCCTCTTCTATAAAGCTGGGGTGCTGTCCACTTGGTGACATGGGTGGACACCTGTGTGGAGCAGGGTGTTCAGGGTTGATATCCGGAGCCATCACCTACTGGATCTGTCCCCCTCAAGGCCCTGTCATGCTGGAGCTGCACAGGGTCCCGCTAGCCCCCTGGGCATCATCACCTTACCATTGAATTTTCCATGTGGACAGTGAGTATGTAGGCCCGTCCAGAAGTGCCCTGAGGGCAAGCTTCCAGCTCCATGAAGTCCCCAGGCTGTCTCCTGTGCTTGGAGACCCAGTCCTGACAGCGGGGAGCCCTAATAAACCTCATTGCTGCTGTGTTGCTTCACCCGGCTTGTCCACACAGGGTGTACACTGCCCTACCCAGCCAGGCAGCAGGCACCTGTGTCCACTTACCCCAGGTTCCCTGTCTCTGCACACTAGTGTTCCCCCATCTGCCTGCCCCGAGGTCTTTTAGTCCCAGCCAGGTAGCCTGCGTGTGCCCAGTGCTGTCCCAAACTCCCCAGTCTGCTTCCCCCATGGTCCCTGTGCACCCCTCCCTGTGTTCACCCACCTGCCTCCGGAGGTGACGTGGGGACATGGAAGGTTTGTCCTGAACTGGACTCCCAGCATTGCACAGAGAACTAGGGCTTATTCATGAGCTTCCCCAAAAGCACCTTCATCTCCCAACACAAGACCACCCCAAAGCACCCAAAGGGCTGACCGCCCACTTGGTACTGGGATTATAGGCAGCAGTGCTCTTTGAAGGCAAAGATATTGAAGCTTCATCTCACATACTTGGGCATGTTGCTCGAAGAGGCTATTCCTGAGAAAGATGTGATGCTTGGAAAGGTGGAGGGTCAGTGAAGGAGGAAGAGCCTCAAGAGGGATTGACATAACGGCTGTAGCAGTGGGCTCGCCAGGGTGAGGATGGCACAGGATAGGACAGGGCTCAGCTCTGTTCGTAGGGTCGCTACGGGTCGTGTCCAATTGCACCTAAGAACATCATCCCCTTGAGGGGTGAAGTAGGCTGGTGGTGTGAGCCCCAGGGAGGGACAGGCTCCAGAAAGATTCACAGCTTGGGAAAACCCCTGAGGTTGCTGGGGCTGGAGTTGACTCATCAGGGAGGGCCAGTAACCCCAAAATATGAGAGAGCAAAAGAGACTGGGGGGGTCACTGGCTACAGGGGCAGAGCTGGGAAGATGTCTCTGGAGAGTGGTCCTCAGACCTGCTCCACCTTCCTCCAGCCTGTCAAATCTTGAGGGAGAGCAAATCCTGGAACCCCAAGTGGGTGGAAGTGCTGTGAAGATGGGAGGGGCAAGAGACAGGACCTCATGGGACCCACATCTGCCCTAGATGATGTCACTGTAGGTGAGGCATCACCATTCTTGGACCTGGTTCTGATGCGATTTCCTAGAATCTCAGGAATATGAGGTCCTAGCCATGGTGGGGGGCAGGGTCCACTGGTGGGACCCAGAAGGCCCCCAACAGCAGCACTCTGTGTGCAGGCCTATTGAGAGCTGGAGTTGTGAATCTGGAAGTCACGAAGAGCAGGGTGGACCATAGCTGCCGGGAGGGAGTAAGCAATTCCAAGACGTGGACACTTTCAGGCCTTACTTCTCCACCTCCTCCATCTCACTGCCTACCCCCTTCCCTACATCAAACCTGACTTCATCTGCCATTTCTACTCCAGGGCCCCCCTCTCCCACTACCTCTGGGCTTTGCACAGTCTACAGCTGGCCATCCAGACCACATGTCCCACAGACACTTGTGACCCCATCGCAGATACCCCATGATCCCATATGCACCCCATGACCCCATCACAGATGCCTGGAGACCTGATTGCAGGTACTCCATAACCCCACAGACACCCTGATGTCCCATCACAAACACACCATGACCCCATTCCTCTTCCAGGGGAGACAAAACCAGGGTGTCTGCTCAGAGTTGCCTCTCTTCAGCACCACCCTCTGTTTGTCACTCAAAACGCCCCCATCTGACACCACCATGCTTGCTGAAACTAAGGACCTGAAACACTTGCAGAAGGTCAAGGGCTGTGTCTTTGATAAGGATTGAAGCTCAACATCAAGAAGACAGATTCTCACCACTAGGCGAGAAGAGATTAAGATTGTTAACAATTTCACCTTGCTTGGCCCACAATCAACACTCTTGGCATCAGCAGCTGGGAAATCAAAAGATAAATTGCATTAGGTAAATCTATTGTCAGGTCAGGGACCTCTCCAGAGTACTGAAAAGCAATGATGTCAGTCTATAGACTAAGATGCACCTGATCCAGGCCACGTTCTTCACAATTATTTGCTATGCATCAGAGAGCTGGACAATGACTAAGGATGATAGGAGTAGAATTGATGCCTTTGAGTTGTGGTGCTGGAACATACCATGGACCACCAAGAAAACAAATAGATCTGTCTTGGAGAAGTTGAAACCAAGTTTCTCCTTGGAGGCTAGGATTTTGAAGCTCCATCTCACATACTTTGAGCATGTGGCCAGAGGGACTGATCCTTATAGAAGGACATCAGGTGCAGAAGGGTGAAGGGACAGTGCAGGAGAGGAAGACTCCAGATGAGATGGATTGAACCAGTAACCAGGGCAGTAGGGTAGGTGTGTTGGAGTCAATGAGACCGGCTCAGGACAGGGTAGGCTTCAGAGCTGCTGGACATATAGGGTCACTGCGAGTCACAGGAGACTTGACAGCATGTAACAGTCTCCTTGCTTGCTGCGACTCTCAGATGACACAATGGACTATTGGGTCACTTCCACAGCCCAGGACTCCAACTGGAGGAAGAGCAACACTGGGTCTTTCAGGGACAGTGCTGCGTGCATGGGCCAGCAGGTCCCCAGGGCTGTCCTCCACATGCCTCTGAGCAGACCTGCGTCTACCCCTCAGTCAGCACAGGGGAGTCCACTGCCCACCACTGTCACATCGGTATGCACTCACCACATCATCCTGTGCTGGATTTCTGAAGCTGCCCCTCCTCAGGGTCCCCCAGCAGTAACTGGGAGACGGGAACCACTGACTGGCAGGGGGTGGAGGCTTTCTTAGTGCAAGCAGCTGATGGAGTGCTTGTTGAGTGAATGAGCAGAGGCATGTTGACTGCAGCCTGGCTAGGGGTGGGAACCATGGCTGGAGAGGTGCTAGGGAGAGCTGGGACCCCCTCCTGCCAGTGTCCTTTTTGTTCCTGCCAGGGCAACAGCAGGTGGGCAAGGCCTCTGGCACGGCAAGCCCTGTGGTTCTTCTCTGGCTCAGCCTCAGCTCTGGGGTCCTGGCGCCTGTCCCAGCCTGACATCTTCCCAGGGTGAACATGAAAGACCCCCCTTCAGCTGGACATGTGTTTGCTCCAGGGTGGCTACAGCCTGGCAGTGGCATCTCTCCTATGAGAGACAGCTGCCCACCCACCCGCCCAGGGATGCCACAGCCTGGAGGAGTGGAACACCAGAGTCTAGGGGATGGGCAGCCTCCTCAACTCTGCCTGCTCAGGGGACAGCCCACATGGCCATCCAGTGGTCACCATGAGTGGGGACATTCAACTCTGTTCTTGTGGCACAGCCATCCTGGTGGGCAGGACACACCAGATGCCAACACAGCTGCAATGACCGGAAGCCTCGCTCCAGGTGCCCTGACACTCAGGCCCCCTGCTTCCCTAGGTTCCTTGATCCCTAGTCTCTCTGGTCTACCTGGTCCCCAAGGCTCCTGGTTCTCAAGACCCCCTGACCCCCTGGCTCCTCTCTCAGGCCCCCTCATCTTCCAGGCTCCTCTCCCGGGCCCCCTTGTCCTCAGATTCCTCTCTCTGTCCCCCTCGTCCCTCAGGCTCCTCTCCCGGGCCCCCTGGCCCTCAGGCTCCTCTCTCATATGCCCTGGTCCTCCAGGCTCTTCTCAGGCCCAGCATATCACCCAGTTGCTTGGGTACCTAGTGCAACTGGGGGCAGGCAGAGCACTGAGGGCAGGGGCCTGGTCTGTGTCCCCCCAGTCTCCACACACGAAGCACCCTCAGTCTAAAGTAGAGCTTCTGTGTTTTCCCAGAGCTGGAAGGAGGGACCTGGACACAGCTGGGCTGAGCTCAGAACAGAGACCAGGGAAGCAGGTGGGAGACTGGAGGGGGCTGTGGAACCATTGCGACCTTGGCCGCTTCCCTGTTCTAAACCCACCAGCCTGACAGGGACAGAGAGAGGCTGGGGCACCAGTATGCCTGGGGCTCTTCTGGGTCGTGTGGGCTGGGCCTCAGTTTCCCATTATGCAGACTAAGCAGGGAGGCGTCCATGGGGCCATGAGAAGACTGTGTGTGCCGCCCAAAATAGCGCTCTTTGTCCAGGGTTTGTGCGTGACAAACTGAAGGCTCTGGGGCCTTTTAAAAATCCTTTTATTATGAAAATTTTAAAATCTATAGTCGAGAGGCGCCCCCGCGGTGACCTGCCCCTGCTGGCCGCGCCCTCTGGACCAAAGCTGAGGACAAGGCCCTCCCAAGGTCAGGGGCGCAGATGACAGGCGGCTCAGCTCGTTGACCTTGAGCACGTCCTTGTGCGCCCCGCGCCTCAGTTTCCCCCCTGGAATCAGCCTGCGCGCGGCTCCAGCACTCAGGAAGCCTCATCTAGGGCCACCCCCACCCGCGGCCTCAGTT